GGTGGGGGCGCGCTGCCTCCAGAGACTATGCTGTGTCCCCGGGGACGCACCGGTGCCTCCTCCAATCCCAGCGTGCACCTTGCTTTGGCAGCCTGCCCGGGTCACGGCAGCTGCCGAGTGTCGTGATGCATGTGTGTGTGTGTGTGTGTGTGTGTGTGCGTGCGTGCGAGCGCGCGCCGAGCACGCTGCCTGAGGTCCGCACGCGGTATTCCCCGCAGTTCTGGAAAAACCAGTCCGCAGCCAATGCCTTCCAGTAGATACAAAGAGAAATCCTGACAGAAAAGGGAGAGAAGTCCTGGAGACAGCCAGGGACGGCCACATCTCAGTGGGGGTGTGTCGGTGCTACCGAGCTGGACGTTTAAGAACGACTAAGGTGATAAGTTTTATGTCACGTGTATTTTACCACCATTTTTAAAGAGAGGGAGAGAGAGAGATACAAAGAAAGGGAGAAAGAAGAGGGCAAGTGGCTCTACCAGAGAGAACGCCGAGCACTTGCGCGTGTGGCCCGAGACCCTGTGCGGTGGCGGGAGGCGCCCCGAGTGAGTGCGGGTCTCCCTGCCTGCCCTGCCCAGCGCCCCGCGAATCCACCTCTCCCTGGGGCGGGCGACACCTGGACGGCTGCCGTTTTCTGATTCGGACCACCCTGGAGGGGCGCAGGGCCAGCCTCAGGATCGGATCCCGGGAGAGGCACCTGATTTCCTGGTGGCAATTTCCCATCGCCGGGCAATGCCGACCTGCCCTCCAGGCCTGGCTGTGCCGGCCGCCCGAGGGCTGATGCCGATTCCCCTCTAGATGCAGCCAGGGTTCTGGTTCCCATGTGCTTCGCTCTGACTGCTGGTGAAACGGAGGCTTTTGCCTGTTGACTGGCCATTTCCATCGTTCCTCCTTGCGAAGCACCTGCTCGTGACCCCTCCTTGTCCCCTCGGTCCTCACAGTGACCAAGAAGTGGTCTTTGCAGATGAGAAACTGGGGCCCGTGGAAGGCCAGCAGCCGGCTAGCGCAGCCCCGGAGCGGGAAGGGATGTACGGGCAGGTGTGGCCTGAGCTGGCAGAGGCTGGCCGGTCCGGGGAGGGAGCTGGCCTAATCACCTCGCCCAGCAGCCCCATGTTAGCTGCTGCGCCTCCCTGGGGCTCAGTGTCCCCATCTGCAACACGGGGCAGCTGGGTGACACACAGCTTGCAGACGCACGGCCAGCCCTGAAGCCTCAGCTCACAGGGGGCCCCTGGAGGAGCCGGACCCACAGACACAGGGAGTGGGAGGGAGCGGGGGGAGGGGAGGGTCCGTGTTCAGTGGGACAGAGTTGGGTCTGGTGGGTGAGGTGGTCCTGGGACGGTTGCACAACCGTGTGAATGTGCGCGATGCCGCTGGGCTGTGTGTGCTTAAGAGCAGTTTTAGGTCATGTGTGTTTTACGACAATTTAAAAAACCGGAGTCTGGCTTTGAGTCCAGCGCTGAGTCTCTGCTCTCCTGAGAGCCATCACTGGGCCTTGGGCGGTTTCTTCACCCTTCTGTATAAAGCGGGAAATCCCTCCCTTCCCATCAAGACCATGGACGGCCTCGGCTAACTCAGGGGCTGGAGGGCACCCGAACCTTCGGGGAGAAGGAGACACTTCTGGGTCAGGAACCCTTGGGTCCGTGGGGGCACATCTTTAGTTGCCTGCCCCCCCCCACCCCCGCAGGGGATGGGAAAGACCCAGGGGCCCTGCAGGGAGTTGACATGACACTGAGCCTCACGCCTTGGGCTCCGTCACCCCAAGGACCCCTGATGGGTCCCTTCCGGGGTACGAGCAAAGCGTCCCAGGCCACTCTGCCTTCCTGTGTTCTCCAAGGCCGGCCAGCACCTGCAGGCACGTCCCCACAGACATACCCACTCACACCGCCACATGCTGCTTGGAGGCGGCCCCTGAGGGTCCCCGATGCTCCAGAGCAGCTACCTGCGGGGGCGGGGGCAGGTGGTGTCCCAGGCCCGTGTGCATCCTGGCTCCCTTCCTCTCTCGCCTGTGCCCTCGGGGAGTTTTTAATGTTTATTTACCTGAAGCCGCCTCCAGGCTCTGAGCTGTTGGCACAGAGCCCGACGCGGGGCTCGAACCCACGAACCGCGAGATCACGACCTGAGCCGAAGTCGGACGCTTAACCGACTGAGCCGCCCAGGCACCCCTATAATTATTATTTTTTAAATTTGATAAGTAATCTCTACACCCAACGTGGGGCTCGAACCCACAGCCCTGAGATCAAGAGGGGCACGTTCCACCGACTGAGCCAGCCGGGCGCCCCTCCACGTTGGGTTTTTAGTCGCTGACACAGCCAGGAACCAGACCCAGGCTGGCCCTGGGGGCTCTCAGCCTCCAGCCTCCTTCCAGCTGAGTCTCCCACTTGGCTGAGCAAGCAGGGGTGTCGGGGTGAGGGTGGGGTCACACGGGCAGGTCCCTGGAAAGCAGATGTGGAAGTGGGCGCCCTCCCCTTTGCCAGAGGGCAAGCCGGGGCTCCGTCTGCCGTGGGGATCTCTGCTGTGTCTCTGTGTCCAGTCCGGCTGCGGGCCAGCGGGGCCCTGCTCACTGATGCTGTCTCTCTTTAGCATCATCAGTTGGTTTGTCCGGACCTTCAAGTACGTATTTGGCCTTCGCTTTGACATAAAGGGCCGCCAGAAGCTGGAGGTGGACCACCCGTGTGTCATCATTTCTAACCACCAGAGCATCCTGGACATGATGGGTAAGGCGGGGCCGCGGAGGGGCTGGTGGGAGAGCTGTCCCTTCCCAGCTGCAGGCCCAGCCTGGGACCCTGCCCCGGTCTCTGTGGGGGAGATGCTTCAGGGAGGTAGAGCCTGGGCCCGGATGAGCCGGCGGGCGAGGGGACGCTGACCCGAGCCAGCGGGACCCGTCCCTCCCTGCAGCCACACAAAGCTGCATGTGCCTGACGCTGCGCATGGGGCGCTGACGGCTGGGAGTTCCGCTTCACTCCCTCCCTTTGCAGGCGGGAGGCAGGGGTGGCTAGTGGGAAGGCATGATCGGCCCAGGCCTGTTGGTGGTCAAGGCACGGGGCTGGCGCTCTCCTCCTTGGGAAAGATGGCTGCCAGGCTCTGAGCACGGCCTCCACCTGCCTGGTGTCCCATGGCCACCTGCAGGCCTTATGGAGGCCCTACCCAAGCGCTGCGTGCAGATTGCCAAGCGGGAGCTGCTCTTCATGGGGCCTGTGGGCCTGATCATGTACCTCGGGGGTGTCTTCTTCATCAACCGGCAGCGCTCCAGGACCGCCATGACCGTGATGGCCGACGTGGGCGAGCGCATGGTCAGGGAGAATGTGAGTGTGGGCGGGGTGGCCGCCGGGGACAAGTGCGTGGTCAGGGACAGAGTGAATGTGGGCGTGATGGCCCCCGGGGGGGCAAGCGCTGGTCAGGGACAGTGTCAGTGTGGGTGTGATGGCCGCCGTGGACAAGTGCGTGGTCAGGGACAGAGTAAGCGTGGGCGTGATGGCCGCCGGGGACAAGTGCGTGGTCAGGGACAGAGTGAGTGTGGGCGTGATGGCCGCCG